GCCGCCCACGCCCCAGCAGCCGCGGGGCGCTCGCCTGGTCCCGGGGCGGTCGAGGCGGCGTCTCGCGGGGAGCCCAGAAAGAGGCGCCGCACCAAGCCCTGGCCTTTGGCGTTCTCTTTGTTCACAGAAGCCTTACAGTCCCGCTTCTGGCGGTAGAAGATGAGCGAGTCAGGCCTGGGCAGCCGTCGCCCGCTGCTCCGCCGGGCAGATCTGGGTGTCCTGGGCGATGCAGGGGCCCCCAGCTCATTGCAGGGGTGCGGAGTGAGAGGCCCAGGACCCCCGCGTAGGGCTGGCTCCTGCCGTCGAGCGATCACTTGGTGCGTCTTGACATACTTGGCTTTGTCAGCCTCCAGCCTCTCCACTGCGCTGGGGGTCCGTCCCCTGGACAAACCGGAGGGAGAGGCCAGGAGCATCTTAGCAGGGCAGGGTAGGACTGTACCCCATAAGCCACTGGAAGTAGTCTGCTAGTTGAGCACAGGGCAATTGGCTGGACTCCCTGGAACCTGCAAGGAGAGAGGAATGGTCATGGGCAGTGGGCGCTGGCCTTGCCCCTTTCCTGCAGCCATTCCTGGGAACAGGATCCGACAGCCGCCCCTCCCCCACCAAGTTCGCAGATGCTTTGCCTGGGGTAGAGACTCAAGCTCTCCCTCCCCCCACCTCTCACAAAGTGGGCGGGAACTCCCCCGACCACTCTGAAACATTGGCCTCTTTGAGGGTGCCCCAATCTGGCCACAGGACCATGCCAAGCAGGCATCAGCGAGCAGGGCATTTGGAAAAGGAAACGGGGCTGGTCCCAGCTTAATTCCCGAAAGTAGCTTCAACCGGAAAAAATACCTCTTCCCAACCCAGCAACTTTAAGTCCAAGACAAGGAGGCTTTCCAGCCACAGACTGGCTCCAGCAGGGCCCACCCTTCCCGCCCCCAAGCATCGAGGTCAGGGATATAACCACTGGGTAGAACCTCCAGTATTTGGAGCCAACTGCCCTGCCCAGGCCCAGTAGGGCCATCAGGGAAGGAGAGGGAGGTGGTTCCCAGGTCATGCCCTGCCCAGGGATTTCTAGAAGGCTCAACCGTAAGCATCACATAGTCTGCATCTGCATTTCCACTTCATGGGAGAGGAAATGGACCCGGAGAGGAGACAGCTCACTCAGGAGAAGTTAGGGATTGGGACTGGAACCCAGGTCTCTCCCAGCTAGAGAGAGCTCCCTGTTTCCCTGTCACACTTCCCTTTGATGTTCTGCATCTGTTCCCACAGCTTCAGAAGCAAGCCGACTGAGAAGCTGCTTCCATGAATTCTTCCCAATGACCTCCATTCCCAGAAATCTGTCCTCAGGCCCTTGCCCCTTCCCCTGAGACCCTCTGACCCTTGTTCTCCTCCTCCCTTGTGCCAGGAAGGGGAGCAGGAGGGGCTGTAAATCAAGAGCTGACAGTTCTATTGGCAGTAACAGAATGGGCCACCCACAGGGCTCAGCACACCCTCCCACCTGGGCCTCCTGCTTCCCCCCCCCCCCATGAGGCTGAGAGTGATACATCAGGTCTGGGGGTAAAGGGACCTTGGATATGGAGGTGAAAAAGAAACAACACTCCAGGGATGGGGGAGGGCTGCCCAGCGGAGAGGCCTGGGGGCAGAGACCAGGCCAACTCCACTCTCCCCAGATTAACCTGTTCAGTGCGAGCACACACACACACACACACACCTAGTTTCTAGTAAGCCAGTGCATAGGTAGTTGGTGGTAGGCAACCCTGGTAGCAAGGGAGAGTCTGGAAGCACCTTCTCTCCCGTCTCCCCAGGACGATGCCAGGCAGCCATCAGATTCCAAGGTCCCAGGAGGGCACAGTGGTTGTCTGACCTCATAGGTATCTTTCTGTCCTCCTCATCCTAGCCCTGAGCAGAGAGGCTATAAAAAGTCCCTAAACACAGGGACCAAAATAGCCTGCCATCCACTGCCTCTTCCCTGCCCTGGGCTGCCTTGATGTCTGACCACAGACATTCCGCCCAGAAGTCTGGCGGCCATCCTTGTACCCTGTCCCTTTGTTCACCTTCTCCCACTCCTGGGCCAGTGGTCCTAGCCAGGCCCACTGCCCAAGGCCTCGGCTCAGACCCGGAGCAGACTGGGGGGCTCTCCTCCTTGGGCTGGCACCAGCCCCCTGCCCACAGGTCCCTGGGTGGCCACCCACCCCAGCCCTGGGCCGGGGTGCACTCACCTCTGTGTGGTGAAGCTGACCGCTGGGGTCCTTGCGCAGGGCCAGACTGAGGGCAGGAGGGACAGCAGGGACTGGAAGTAACTTTGGTGGCAGCCAAACCTCACTCTCCACAGGAAAAGCTGTGAGAGCCTCCACCCCCCAGATTAACCCTCGCCTTCCTGACCTGGAGCCTGGCCTCCATTAACTCCTTCCTGGTCAGTGTCATTGCTGGAGAGGACCTCTGGCCAGGTCCAGCCTCTTTCTTTTACAGATGGCCACACAGGCCCTGACAGGTAAAGTGATTTGCAAGGAGGCCCAGTGAGGTTGGGGCATAGCCAGGACCCCAAACAAGATCCCCTGAATCCCAGGCTTCCCTGAGGCCTGGAGTGGGCACCGCTGTAGATGTGGGGTCAGCCCCCTCTGCTAGGCCTTGGCAGACAGTCTTGGTTAGAATGGGCCGACAGAGCAGGGCTACTTGACAGTGGAGGCTTTCCTCTGCAGCAAGTTTAGACCTGTCCTGGTAGGGATGTAGGAAGGGTGCTGAGCCTGCTTTCAAGGGGTGAGGCCAAGAGTCTATAGCCTAAAGGGGGGGGCAGTGGTGCCGCAGATGTGCAGGGGGAGCCTGTCCCCACAAGCCTGGGCGTGAAAGTCACCCAGGAGCCCACTGGAGGTGCCTCTGCCCCAGGTCTTCTGACGGCAGATGGGACTGGCTGGCAAGAGGATGACAGGGCTGATTGTGGCTTCCAGACTGGGTGGGTTCCCCTTCCTCCTCTCTGGGGACTTCTAGAGTTGGTGCAGTTTCTTATTGTGACATCTCATGTCTCAAGGGGGAGCCTGGTCCCCGCCCCCCACCCCCGCACTGCTATCAGGAGGCTGCCTTCCTACCTGCAGAAACTCCCTACCGCCAAACTCCCCAGTACCCAGAGCTCCGAGGACACCCCCAGCTTCTCACGCCCCACAAATCCCTCTCCCTCCCTTACCTCTCTGTGTGCTTTTGGAACTCTGGGTTGTGATCTCTGATCTCCGTTGACTTCCCCAGGGACCCTAGATGGGACGCCACTGGATGGTGAGGAAACTGCCCAGAAAGGGGCCGAGACTTTCCAGATCCCAGCTGCAAGCCCCGGCCCTCTGCCTGTCAGTGAGGTAAAGCTTGGCCCCAGCAGCCCATCTCCGCGTGAGAGACTCTTGTGACCTAGTTAAAGGGAGATTTTTCTTTCCGTGATCACTCCATACTTTACTGTTATAAAACAATAACAATATAAAAGCCCTTTACAGATGCTTTTAGTACATGATCACAGCTCCTCCCAGGGCTCTCTTTGAGTGGGTTTGATTGTTTTCCATGTCCAAGAGGCTGAGGCTCAGAGAGGTGAAATGACTTATCCAAGTGCACGCAATTAGGAATAATTGCTAACTTTTATGATGTGATGAATATATGCTAGGTGCTGTCCTGAACACTTCACACAGGGATTAACATGTTTAATCCTCAAAAATAATCCTGTGAAACAAGTACTTTCATTCTCTTCATTTTACAAAGGAAGTTTGGGGGCACAATCATTGGCCCTGAGATCTGGTCATAAAAGGGTTAAGCATGGAGCTGGGCAGGGCCCAGCTGGGATGCTGTCAATGGCAGGAAACCTGGCCTGTGAAGGGGGAGGGCGGAGGGGAGGATGGGCTGTTGTGTCTGACTCCTGATACAACCCCATCCCTTTGGTCTTAAAGGAGCATCCGGGTTGGGTGGAAGGACAGGCAGGGCCCCTTCTCTTGCCTTTTCTAGAAACCAAGGCCAGATGCTGGGCTACAGAAATGGGGCTTCTGAGTGCAATGCAGGGGCTGTCCTGGGCAGAACTGGACTGAGAGGGGTCACCAGACGTGACCCCTAAGGAGCACTCTGTGGGGGAGACACAGCCTCAGCCCTGGAGCTCGCAGCCCACCCACGGGAGCCCTGCCCTCAGGACTCTTCTGAGAACCAGTGATGACAGAGCCTGGTTTTCAGAAGCTCCCAGCCTGAGGAGTGACAGGACTGTCCCAGGAGGCCAGTGGGCCTGACCATCCTGGCAGGGCTGAGGAAGGAGGGATAGTCAAATTGCCTACCCCTTGGCTGCATTTGCTGTCAACCAGATCATCTCTTTCTGGTCAAACGTTTCCAGGGAAAGGCTTAAAGTGGCTCCTTCCGACCGACCGACTAGAGCCAGGCAAAAGGAGAGGCCAAATCCGAGTGATGTTTCCTGCAGGTTTCCGAGCTCGTTCCGGGATCACCTTGGGCTGATTGGAATGGGCCTGAGTCAGAGCCCACTTCTTCCAGGAGACCGTGGGGAGAGATGGGAACAGTTCTGGGGATAATGAGACAGGCCGGAGGCACTTCAGATCCAGGCTCAGACCCTTGTCAGAGGAGAAATGCTTGTCACCGGAGGCAACCCCCACCCTGCCCCTGACTCTAATTCTGGCCATCCCTCACTGTGTGGCCTCTGCAAGACTGTGACCTCTCTGAATACCCTTCGGGGTGTCTTGGAGTGAGACCCTACTCTGAAGTGGCATGAGGTGGCTGAGAAGGCAGAGGTGCCGGCAGATGTCAACCAGCAGCAAACTGACACCGCTGAACCCTCCTTGTCTAACCCCACAGTAGCAGCTCTCAACTGTTGTCAACAAATCATGTTGAACAAGGCTGGGTGTGTGGGGTCGGATAGATTAAACATGGTTTTGCTGTCAGCCTGCAGGCAGGGGCGGGGAGCTTGGGGGAAGCATGGGTGGGGGGGGTCCTCGAGGCGGGGAAGGGGGGACAGACAGGGGGTGCATGAGGACATGAAGGACATTCAGATAGAGACAAGCCCAGAGCAGCTCTGTGATGGCCAAGGGACAAAGTGGGGGTGTGGGGGTGCATTTGTTCTGCCTGTGGGGCAGGAAGCTTCCAAGACTTCACGGAAGGGGTTTCTGAGGATGGTGGAGTGGGAGGTAGGTGTTTGGGAGGCTGGAGACTAAGAAGGGTTGCTCTGGGGCAGGGGAGAAGCTCAAAAGGGCTTATGGAAAAGGTGGGGTACAGAGAAAGGAGGGTTGTGTGAAGAGGTGGATTCAGTGAGGTGATGGGAACCCTGAAAAAAACCAGGCTGGACGTGAGAGAAGGGGCTCCAGGGGCTCCCCCGAGGGAAGGGCCCATGCAGCACTGTAAGTAAGGCCCAGCAACGGGGCAGGAGCCTCCTGGCTAACCATGTGTGAGCCCTCCCAGAGACAGGGCAGCTCTCCTGGCGGGCAGGGCTTTCCGTTGAGGAAAGAATCAGGCCACAACAATAGCCTGGCCCCAGCGCCCTCTCCCAGTGAGGGAGTGG